ATGGAATTAAATTTATGAAATTAATTTTTATAAAGTGAATTGTTAACGTAAATCTTCTTTTTAATATTTGTTTCATTTTTATTAATTTTACACGATTATATATTTTTTTTCTTTGTCATTATTGTGTTTGTCTGTTTGCATGCGCAATTAAATTTTCCGCGTTTGTACTTTTCGCATCTTTGTTCTAGAAATAGCTTTGTAAATTTAAAACCTTCGTCTAATTATATTCTCATTAATTTAACTCGATTACGTTACGGATTTTAGTTGACTACAGATGCCGTCCGGACGAATGTTGCAAAGGCCGGGAAATTTTTTGTTTTTTTAATTACTTGAATATAGTTCGTTACTCTGTAGCGTGGCATTTACCGATTACGTGCGCGTCTAATTTCGAGTGTTCGCTCGTTGGTAGATACAATCCGAAATTGTAACAACAATAGCGCTCCGAGCCAGCCGACGTTGTTATCAACGAAAGACGCTTTTCAAAACGATAACGTAACTTTATTGTTCGTTTTGTGCTATTGTATCGAGTTATTACCAATCAGTAGAACAATGAAATAATCTGTATTAATGAATGCACTTTTTAAATACGTGCAATTATTTTTTGAATTTATCGCATAAGCTGAGTTTCCCTGGTAAATCTTCTGTTGTTCATTAACGAACAATAGAACGGCTGGATCACTTATACACCTCGCAATGATATTATCAAATTCGCGATGGCTACTACATTCGTTCAATTAAAAAAAAACTTTAGAAAAGTAAAAATTGTTTAGATGAAAGTCGGGCGGACGTTTTAGGTAAATATGTAGATCACTTTGTGGGAATAACCGCGTTTACATTCAATTTATGAATTTGTTGTTTTTTTTATTTTTTATTTTTTAATGCCCAACGCAAACGAAATCATTTCGCGAAGTTTGGCTCAAAAGATTTGATTGCGTGCGTTGCAAGCTATTTTTTTCGTGTTGAGCCCTTCTGAAATGAAACACTATGTTGAAGTTTAATTGGAAATATTCGATTGCGTTTATCGGCGCACCGCTGCAAGAATAACGTAAATAAAACGCTATTATGAATTTTATCTTGGAAAACACACTCGTCCCCATTGACTCGTTTGCCGGTCAAATATTATTTATTTGTTAATATACAATTATATATTTATATATGATGTTCTTATACCGTGAATTAAAGCGATTATTGGGAAATTACATTTTACATTTTACATTTGGCGGATGCTTCTCTCAATAATAAATTGGATAAATTTAATCTGCACATTTTTACGTACAAGTACCTGCTGTTTTTTGATATACGCCATGTTTATTTATACAAAATTATTGAAGTTTAAATAATTTTAATTAGAAGATACCTCATTTGTTTCATCGAAAGATCTTTTTTATATGTCGAGAAACACGCATGCGATATTAAATAGAATATTTATATATTTTCGTGTACATATTTACGTTTCGCAATTCGCTGAACATATAATTGTTTAAACCACTGACGATATGTTTGTGTGTTTTTAGGATGGTCCGCATGATCGGCGATGAATTCCTCACGGAGGAGCGGGACCGAAAATATTACGCCGATCATTACACATGCTGCCCACCACCTCTCTTCATCATACTCATCACCCTCGTGGAGGTAAGTAGATCAAATTATCCTCTCGTCTCGTAATGAGGACGGCATGCATCGGATAATGCGTCTGCACACTACCTGCTTTCTGCTCTTTGATCTTGGTGCTCTCGGTCGTGATTAATAAATTTTTAACGAGATTATTTATGCGCGTGATCCAACAGCAAATACCATACTATTAATCTGTGCTGTTATTTTTTTTTTTAATCTTTTTATTTTCAGTCTTTTACTAATTTTAAGATCATTTGTTGACATCAAGCCTATTATAATTACTTAAATTTTAAGAGCGTAGCTTATAGTTCTTAATTTAGTAATATATTCCTCTGTTCTATATATATCTTTTTATGCTTACACTTTTTGTTTTTATTTTGGAGAAAAATTAACTTTAATTAAAAAATACGTAAAAAGTTTCACAATTTTTACATTCCTACGTTTTAAACTTACGTTTGCTATTTTACGGATCTCCCTTTCTTATATGTATATTACCGGCTCTTTTAATTGTCTGGTGTGCATTAGTTGCAATCTTCATTTCTCCAAGTTCCACTGCAGATTCTCATTTCTTATGTACGCACGTTTACGATATCGTATTACGTGATCAAAGATTATACAGTTTGCCCAGAGGGAGCAGTCTAATATTCTTTGTGGTCAAAGAGTTAACCGCACCTATAAAAGCGCTATGCACGCTCGTCGTTTCGTCGTTCTCCATTATTTTCTACATTTTCGCCAAGATGAATAAGTGAAATAATCGTCTCTCTTGTCTGTAACGAGCGCGCTAGATATTACACGTACGCGCGTTACCTCTTCTCTTTGATCCCCAGACTAATCTCTGCTTTGAGACCGTCTTATCTGTTCTTTTTCTTTTTTCTGTCGCCACGCACACTAATCATCATTCTTTCACATCTTTCTCTTTGTTTGTTTTGTTTTTTTCTTGCGTCATGCACGGCGTGCAAATCTACGAGACAGATTTATTCTATCGTTCTTAGGCGACAATTTTTAATCTTTATATTTTTTAATTTTCTATAAAATATTCGATAATTGTAAGTCATTTTCGTTAAAAGCATACTGATACGGGCGCAATAACATCTTGCGCAATAATGCTAATTAAAATTGCGTCAGTTTGTTATATCATTGCCTGAACGTTTGTGGTATTGTTATAAATATTGATTTAGAGGCACGGTGGCGTCAAAGGACGACTGATTCAATATATTATATATTATATATAAAAGCGTTGTTATAATAAAAGCGTGCACACTCATATGCAAATTTCTCCTCTAAATTATTTTTGCTAGAATCTACATTAAGAGTATAATGAATACACATAATTACTCTACTCTCATATTATGAGATTTTACCTGTATACGGTAAAATTTTAATGAAAACTATATTATAGAAACGTTTATATTGAATATTGAAATTTATTTTGATTGTATAAAAAATGAAGCGATTATATTTTTAAATGAACTCGATGCACTTCGAAACTCATTGCGCGATTTTACATATTGAGCTTCGAACATTTCGAGCATGCGCCCATATGTCATATGATTCTCGATATTTATATATATTTATTGCAGAATATATGAAAAATTACTAAAATCACGAATGCGACATGACAATTTTTTTTTTTATGTGCGATTATACCGGCGATCATACCACTGTTCTTTCATTTTTTTTTCTGCCTTATCATCCGTCTCGGCGGAACGGACAGGAAGACAACGTAATTGTCTTCTGTAATGAGCGACTAGCGGACGACTTGCAGAGTTATGCATGACAAGATTCCTTTGAGCATTGAGAACGTTGCAAGCGCGTTTAATAAATTTTTAATGATCACGGTTTGTGCATAATTTGCGCGTGGACGACAACGGCGCGATGTCGGTCGTGAACGCGTGGATGATATTCTCGAAATTTAAATCTCAAGCTCATAATACCATTATTAATATCTCGGACCGGAATTACGCGCTCTTACTCGCACATGTTTGTCACCAGCAATATATATTCGTCGTTATAATAATAAAATTGACTCGACTGTAACTAATATGCCGAGTTGGACGAGTAAAACGTGAGAGAAAAAAAACAACTGAAAATTTTTTTATATTATTTTATATAATATTCGGGGAGCATAATTTAGAATAAAATTACACGTGTACAAGGTGAACCACATATGTGCATAATGTTGACGGACGGCTTTTATGACGACGGTCACGAGCTAATCCTTTTGTTTTACTATATTATATTAAATCATGAAAATATGAAATTAAAAGCTATTATTTTTTAATAAAAATAAAAATCAAACATCTTTCTAATTGATAATAATATACGGAGATAATACAGAGATATTGGATGTATATATAATGAATTAATAGTAAAAGAGATATTACGAAAAGATGTATAATGTGTTGGAAATTACAAAATTATGACAAGTGTGATCATTCATTCGCGAATTAAAACCACTAGTCTAATTAAATCGTGTTTCAGCATCGACATGTGGTTTATTTTTCTTAATCGCCCATCGCTCCTTAATGCATCGATTGCGCGTGATCGGAGCGCAAGCAGATCTGATTTGATGCACGATGCGCGAACATTCGCGATCGAAGTGCGCTCGTTAATTAAATCCCGAAGTACCTCCACGGTGTAAACTGCAATCCCGGAAGCGACAAATGCGACCATCGGGATAAGATGCGTCTCGGGATAGGGGATAAGTGTCCACGACATACGACGTGGAAGAGTAAATTGGTATCAGTAAGTCCTCTAAAAGGATACTTAATTGCCACCGCTCGGTCGTCATATTTCATGATTTAATTAAATCGCAAGTATCGCGCTTCTTTTTAGCTCTGTTAAAAGGTTGCGCATTCGTAATTTCATTCGGATGGAGGCTAAAATTGGATTTTAGCTCGCAGTAAGCGAAATGCAAATAAAGGAATAAAAAAGAAAGGGAAGACGTTGCGATGACGACATTGCTGATGAGTAAATTGAATTTGTTTTAGGGAGATTATTTATTAATTTTTAAATATCATTAAAGACCTTTTAAAGACGTTCATTTTATTAATTTCTTTGAAGTCTCGCTCTTTAAAGCTGTTCTGTCATATAGTACGAAATCAGGGAGGAAAAATCATTCCTTTCTGCTTCACTATGAATTTTGTGATTCACCGGTCAAAGCATTTTTCGTTAATTAAATTTCTAGGTATTTTGTGTCGTAAGCATTCATACTAGTAATATTATACTTGTGAACGAGTTCCTTTGTCTTTGGAGATTGCAGCGAAGAAGAATCCGCAATCTTAGATAATTTAATATAATTATTTTCTTCACAACATGAAACAATGTTAAAATTCGATAATATCCTGAGAATTTGCGGCAATACAAATCATGCTAACATCTAATCTTTATCAAGACGTATGAAAAATATAATTAATAATATAATTAATTATTAATTATACATCTCGACATAATAATAAAAAATTTTTCAAATTTGTAACACGCATTTATAATACATACTATGCGATACATTTATCATCTTCATTTGTAATTCCTTTATACTTATCTCAGATTATTTTAAATTATGCAAATATGAATATAGATAAAAAATACAAGTAATATCAAATGCAGGGTTGCTCTGTGTGTGTAGGGGGGGGAGGGTGTGCGCGCGCGCGCGTGTGTGTGTGTGTGTGTGTGTGTGTGTGATGCGTGTCACAGTTACAACTGCAATTTATTTGTCAAGGAATTCTGCATTGATTAAATCTGCAAGTATCGTAAGTGCGGTGCGCAAAAAGCGATCCCGGAAGCGTTGAACCGCGTGTTGCTACCGGATGGTTGTCGCATCCCAACGATGCGGGATAAAGCGTCCGCCTCGCTATCTCGACCACCGCGACGCGAAAGAGGAAGGAGGGGGGAGAGGAAAAGAGATAGAGGACGAGGAGCTGTAATTTTAAACGGCTCACAGTTAATACCCATTAGTGACTGAGTTAATACATGATTCACGCGCGCCAGAGATTGTCACATTCGGCTCGATTCTAATGATAATTTATCGCCCGTACGCGATCTCCCCACCTGACTTCCGTCTCGCGCGTACTCATTCAAGCTCACATTATTCGCGACGATGTGCACGTATACACGTATTGATCGGCGATACGAATTTGTGTTTGCTTTTGATACCAAATTTCGATATTATACATTATCTCCGTTTCATTCGATGTCATATTACTGTAATATCTTTTGATATCTCTCTCTTACACTAAACGTTTCTACACTTTATTGCATTTCTTTATCTTAGCGCGAAAATGATACACATATTGTAGGTTTACTTTGATGTTTATAATTAATTTATACAATTTCTTTTTTTTTTGTCATGATGTGAGAACTGGATTTTGCTGGATATTGAGTTTAATGGAAATGATCAATTCCTCGATTGCAAACTAAATCTCTGATCAATTTACTCTTATGTTCTTATCCTTTTTCTTTAAAATTGATAATTTTCTGATGTCTCTGATCATTGTAACGGAAATTGCTGCCTGATAATGTGCGTACGTGTAACCAGGCGGTACACATGATATGCACGCGTTTGTAATACATTCCGGCTTGCACGGATTACAAGCGGCGATTTAGACACGCATTAGTCCACATTACAAACGAGCTGAACGATTACTTACGCACAACGTAACATAATTTCCATGATCACTTTTCACCGGTGTATCGAAGTAAGTTCGGTTACGAATTCTTCGCTCGATCGGTTCGATTTATTTAATGATAATTAGTAAAAAATTTCAGCAAAATATAAAAAACTGGTCTAATTTCAATCTGAATAAATAATTACAATTAAAAATATAAAATTAAAAAGTAATAAAGAAATCAATTTTTAATAAATTTTTATATTTATAGACTTTTAGTTTAAATTTTGATTTATATTCTTTTGGGTTTATAAAAATATATATATATATATATATATATATATATATATATATATATATATATATAACTATGTTTTTATTAGATGTTGTAAGCAAATTATTAGCAATTTT